TTTTTTAGAGGAAAGCATAGACCTCTAGTGGTGAGCTGGTTCCTCACATAAATGAATACCTCACTGAGGGAGACAGCTGTGATTTGGGAAAACACTGTAGTCATTTGGAAGTAAGTTGCTCCTATCAAGGTTTAATAAAAGGGATTTCATTGAGTTACAACGTGTCATAACTGCTGTTCAAATGGAACAAAGAAACCACTTCAAATGGGACCTATTCACATCAACCTGGTGACTAGATAGCAATCTGAATAAAAGAATGGATCAATGTGTCCACACAAAGGATTGTTTGTTCCAACTAACCACAGGGTTTCTTGAAAAACACTAAAAGTGTCCTCTACATAGTATTTGTAAAGACTCTAAATAGATGAAATATCAAAGCCCTCTCCCCTCCTCATCCTCCTGAATTTCCTTTGGAATGAATCCTTAAGTCACTGCTCCAGTCTTTGAAGTCCTACAAACTGCTTGCCCCTGGGATAAAAGAGAAAATTCATGTTCTTCCATCTCTGCCTTGTTCTCTGGAGAAATCCTCTGTTTGGACCTCCCCAAAAGAGACTCAGAGGGCGTTTACAAACAACAGAAAAAGACAAATAAATACAATGTCAACAATGCTCCCCACTACCTCTCCCTCAAACACACACTTGGTGGACTATGGTTTTCATATTTTTGTGTTTGTTTTTTCTCAATTTGTCCCCCAACTATAATTGCTTATCAGGTCAGGTAAATGTCACAAACCATGAAAAACATAAATGGTCTCCTTCAAGAAAATTTGTATAAAGCCTTTTGAGGCGCTGATAAATGTGAAGGCAGAAGAATGCACAGAATCTTTGGTTCTGCTGCACCAATCCTTTTTTTATCCTTCATTTTCCTAGTCGTGGCTACACAATATGGCCAAAGGTATGTTGATACATGAACATAACAAAAATACAGCATGTTATTGTTAAAAACCACAAGATTTTGGAGCCTGGCTGCAGAGATTTGATCCCATTCAGCAATGGTCAGCTCAGGCTGTTTGAGGGACAGGTGTAAACAAAATTTGAATGGCACAAGCTGTATGCTGTGGGGTACTGGTGCACAAAAGAAAAAAAGGGCACATGAGGGCACACTATCTCGCACTTTGGAGCATGTGGAGGCCAACTAATTTTCTAGAATTTAGGGCAGCCCATATATTGTATTGCATTTTCTCCAGAGAGGCACCCATTACTATACTGGATCATGTTTTCTACACCAGAATGGCACCCTAGAGGGCACTTTACCATGTTTTGTCCACTGGAAGGGCACCCTAGTGGGCTCTCTATAACGTTTTGTCAACTGGAAGGGCACCCTAGTGGGCACTGTATCACATTTTGTCTAGTGTAAGGGCACCCTAGAGGGCACTTTACCATGTTTTGTCCACTGGAAAGGCACCCTAGTGGGCACTCTATAACGTTTTGTCAACTGGAAGGGCACCCTAGTGGGCACTCTATAACGTTTTGTCAACTGGAAGGGCACCCTAGTGGGCTCTCTATAACGTTTTGTCAACTGGAAGGGCACCCTAGTGGGCACTGTATCACATTTTGTCTAGTGTAAGTGCACCCTAGAGGGCACTTTACCATGTTTTGTCCACTGGAAAGGCACCCTAGTGGGCACTCTATAACGTTTTGTCAACTGGAAGGGCACCCTAGTGGGCTCTCTATAACGTTTTGTCAACTGGAAGGGCACCCTAGTGGGCTCTCTATAACGTTTTGTCAACTGGAAGGGCACCCTAGTGGGCTCTCTATAACGTTTTATCTAGTGTAAGGGCACCCTAGTGGGCACTCTATTTTGATTTGTCAACTGGAAAGGGCATCCTAGAGGGCACTCTATCAGGTACTTTATCACGTTTTGTCCACTGGCTCGCAGTTGATGTTCCAGTTCAACCCAAAGGAGGTTGAGATCTAGGCTCTGTAGGCCAGTCAAATTCTTCCATATACCACACTAGGGAAACCATTTTTTTATGGACCTACTTTGTGCACGTGGACATTGTCATGATGAAAAGAGGAAAGGGCTTTCCTCCTCAAACTGTTACCACAAAGTTGGATACGAAGTAATTTCTGTTGTAATCTTCAAATTCTCACTTTAATAACTAAGAATGGAAAGGCCTGGCTCACCCACTATAACAATGAAAAACAACTCCAGCAACACAAATGTGTGGACAAGCTAACAGTACTAATAAATGTTGTGCTACTCAGAAGCTGCCAGCAATTATGTTAGCTTCTCTAGTTTCTACTGCTTATTTTATTAAAAATAATTTACATAATATATAATTGCGATCTAGATTATAATCACTGCACCAAATATGTGAATCTGTATGAGATGTACAATTTTATTAAAAGCTAACCAACCCAAAGCCAGATCTCAGCACAAACTGTGGTATTCAGTAAACACATGATGGCAGTATATCCACTATGTGTAACAGACTTGATCTGGGAATAATCGCATACAGCCAACCTAGATTTTGCTGGTGAAAATTGACAATAAAGCATTTGAAGACCAAATGAAAATCGAAGAGACCAAAATGTGATTAATGGATGTTCAGGTTAAATGAAAAAAGAAATCACATTCTCTATACATTTCATGTATTCAGTCAATAAGTCAGCTTATGTTTTACTAATTTCAAGTATTTTGTCATGTAATGCTTTTTCCATCATTTCTAAAAAGATAATACATTAAAGAAGTTTCTGTAAATGGGTTTCTACTAGCGTGTAGGAAGATTTGAAAGACTCTTAATTTTAACAAAGATAAAAGCCCAATTAGCCTATTATAAGAACAGTTACATCTCACTTATGAGACTTTGACTCTGGCTTCAGTGGCTAAGACTGTTGTTGTTGAATGCTAAAAACAACATAAAACAAGTAGTTCTAATTGTTTTATTTATGATGAAGTGGTCCATTTTAGATGTGTTGTAGTAATAAACCTTCATTTATCTTAGAATTTGAATAGGAAACTTTATAGACTGATGAAAGAAACCATCTATTTTTTTTAAACAAGTATACTGGGCTCAGAGGCTTTCATACAGTTCAGAACAGCATAAAGTAAAAGAAAAATGAACTGGTGCAGCGTTTACAGGAAAACTGTGAATAAGCCAGTTATGGAATAAAAGAGCCAAACCAAGTGTTTACGGGAGATTTTTTTTGCATCAGAGGTCAGGAAGTCTTTGGGAATATAATTTCTCTTAGGGGTGGCTGCTGACAGATTGTCTTCTCTGAAGGGAACGAATGATAGAAGAATGTGTAATTACAGTTTCTACACACAAGGTGTCAGTATTGCAGCACATTTAGCACATGTGACAGGCTAATCTGAGACAGATATTGAAAGGATCAGCAAGAAAAATAAAATATTTGTAGTAATAAATGAGCGCTGCTGCACAGCCTCAGAATCTCCCCTGATCTGTTTGGTGATTATCACCGCTTTGGATGATTACATGATATTCCCCGGAGGTGTCCTTTGGGGTTCTTACTGGATTGAGTATCCGATAGGCCTGCTCTTGGCAGTGCTCCTACTCTTGCTGCTGAAGCAGACAGAGGACAGGAAGTACAGTCATCCCACAGAAGGTGGCAAACATCCCATCCTGCCCTGCACAGGGCATAATGATGAAGCAGAAACACTTCTACGATCTTAAAGCGTTGGCAAAATGGCACCAGTATGAATGCTATTTAAAATTAATAGTGGTGGTTACGATGATACAGTGAGTCTTTATATTATTATGAAGTGTCAGAATGGGCGTTTTCTCAACATGTGAAACAAATGGTCATGATGAATACATATATTCTTGATTGAACTAGTGTATTCTGTATAATGAGCATAACTGCATAAATGCCAGGAACATTAAACCAATGACGTTGTTGTATTGGACTATTTGATTAACTTTAGCTTACTTTTGTCCACCCCCTATATAACCTAAATGTTTAATTTCATGTGTTGGACACATGATCACCTATACCTCATGAAACTAAAGCTATTCTGTCAATGTTGTTAAAGCTGCTAATAATTAACTTTTATTGTTCATTCTGTTACTAATAGATCTGAAGTGATTATAGTGCTCACTGCTTGATAAATGTTGGGTATATTGTGTAGCCTAATACTGTATGTTTCATGGTCTTCACTCACTGAAACCTTCCTTGAGACAGCGCAGGATAAAAACAAGATAGAGTCTGATATGCTGGCTACTAAGAAAGAAAACCAGCTTGCAGTTGTCATAATATCACAACTACACCTTCTGAGTTGATTTTATGTTTTTAAAAAACTATGCTGTTCAAACAAAATACACTTGTCTATTTTTTAACCGATTTTTGTTGTTGTAGTAAAACTAACATGGTATAGACAGTAAACAGAAAAATATTATTATTATTATTATTATTATTAAATTTCTAGGTTGAATCATTAGTTCAGCCACACAGGTGTTTTCATTTATGTTGCTCAATTAGACCACTTATCAGGATTGTGTGGGCATGCGCAGAATGAGCATTATTGACTTCTTCCTCACTTTCCTGTTTTTTGTTGCACCATGTATAGGTCGTTTTCATGGTAGGGAAAGGACAGATGTAAATAATAAGATTAATGATGTAGTAAATTGTAGTAAATGCATTAGTGACTCCTGTCCTTTCCTACAAGCCAACAAAGCTGCTGTAAAAAAAATCACAGTAAAGCATGACATTATCATATTGTATTCTATTAAATGTGCAAAAAGCAAGCTGAACTGATAAAGAACAGATAGGAGACGCACACACAAACCACTAATGTCGCACAGCAGCCAAGCGTGATATTAAATCTCAACAGGGTGAGAGCTAACAAAACTTCACTCCTACATACTGTGCGGGGGAAAAACTGATTGCTAAGAGCATTAAGTCATAGCTATTTACTCTACTACCAAAAGGAAAGATATTGAAGCGAAGAGTTCATCTCAGTTTACTGACTGTCAAACATCACAAACAAATGTGTGGAGTGAAATGAAATGATTCCTCTGCTAGAAGAATTGACCAATCACTGATTGGAGTGCATTTTATGTGGGACATAAGGCTTTCATAAACCAGAGGATTAACAGTGACATGCCACATCATCCAAATCACATGCCCTGAAGCAACTAATGACTTGCTTGTTGCATCCAGACAGCTTCCTATGAAGGAGTCCCACACTCCACCTTTTCCTTTCACCCTGTGAGACATGAAATGTGTTGTTTATGTAGATCATCAAGTGTTTCTCATGAAGATGATCTGATTTTACATCTATTTGAAGACAATTTCTATAATAGGTGAAGCATCTTCAGTTCAAGGACAAGAATACTTACCCTCAAGCAAATGATTCTTCTGCACATTCTCCTGTTACTAAAGTGTAATACAAAACCTGGGAAATTAAACAGCTAAGTGTTGTTAGAAGCCTTATATTGGGAACTGAATAGGCCACTGGAAACTGATCCCAATAACTCCTGAATCATCCATAACAGACGTAAGCCTACATCTAATTAGCAACTCGCTGAGCTTATGAAAGCAAAGTGGTCATAAAACTGGCCTATCACGCCTTCCCCTTTGTTTATGTATCTAATTGATTCTCGTTTTAATACCGGTTGCTATTGACTGGGCAGTGGACAATCTACAACCGTGACGCAGGTTAGTGACGCACGAAATGGGCGGGTTTTCCCCTCAAACGCTGCGAAAAGTATTCAACTCAGCAGCTTGTTTATCCGCCCGTACACTTAGCGATGTTATGGGTTAGCAGTTAAGCATGTGATGTAACATTTTTTTTTTTTTTTGGTCACTTCCAGTGCATTCTCACGTGTATCAGGATTTTTCTGATAAAAAAGTGACTGAATAATGGTTCAAACGTTCACGCCAATTGTATCGAGACTATTCTATAGCCCATTTATTTATTTTTAAACTTAATTAACTCTTAATATTCTGACGACAGAAATACGCGATATCATATAGCCTAACTGATTTCGCATATTGTTTCCCCTGGAAAACTCCAGCTGAAACGTCTTTGTAGATCGGACACTTTTTGCAGTGTTCTTCTCCTCCTCCTCCTCCTCCTCCTCCTCCTCACTTAAGACAGAGGGGGCAGGTCTTGTAGTGGACACTATTACTGCCTTGGCCGGTGATGCTGTATCTCACACGGGGCTTGAAGAGCCTCCCTGCTTATCTGATTATAATTATAGAGAGGTGACCTGGTTTCAGCACCGTGACTCGTCAACAGCTCCATTGCACAGCGGAGATTTGGACAATCCTTCCCCGCCCGGTGCGTCTGACAGAGCGGGTACCCAGGGCGCAGCCTCCGCGGCAGTTTCAGCACCAGCGGCCGGCCTGACCGGAGCGGAGCTGTCCACATATTCAGCACTTTTCTTCTGAAGGTGGGGACCACAGACAGCAAGTCAGCCAGGATATATCATCCTCCTGGACACTCCGAGAGAGCTTGTTTCAGGATGGCGTCAAAATCCGTTGGCCTTTTCGTCCTTTTCCAGCTTCTAGCCCTGAATGTAGTGATCCAGATATCTGCCTTCCCTACACCTACAGCCTCAGCGGGTGGTGAGTTGGTCATCGCCTCTAACCTTGACATAAAAATGTAGTATAGTAGTCTTGTGTACTGTGAGGTATTATTGCAAGAAGACTGCAGAAATGTTGGAGAGAACAGTTTCTGGAAGCAGTCAGTGATAACAAAGGAGATTTTAAAAACGCCACAAAGTGCAGTAAGGTCAAAAAACTCTCTATTCAGCACACATGGTGCCTGAAAAAAGAAAATGCTACAATGTTATGATAAACTCATAAACTAAATTTGGCCATTACACACTGTATACACCTCATACAGTATGGGCATTGATATTATATGAATGTCTTGACAATTTCTGTTCATCTTTGTAGAGATTTTATCTGTTTTGTAGCCTAAATGCTACTGTTTCAGGCGCTCCATTATAAACTACAACTACAAACCTGTTGACTAACAAATTTTTGCAAAAAGCAGTGCCTTTAAACTTCAGCTCCAGCTCAGCAGTGACTGGCGGTGTTTTAAATGACACCAGGTCGCACGTTATGGTCGCTTGTGGTCTATTTTCGCCGCAGTTTAATCTTTTGTTTGATAATCCGATTAAGCTCTGCCTCTGCAGTGGTGAGTTGTCAGAACAGAAACGATCGTATAAGTCTGAAAACTGGAAATGCATTAGAATGACAAAGTCAGTCAATAAAAATTCAATAAAGTAAAGAAAAAAATGTGATAGGCTACTTTTTAATTGAAGTAGGTTACATTAGTATCTATTCATAGCCTGTTTATCTATTTGCCATTTACATTTGTGACCTACAAAATCTGGGTCTGCTTATTAATAATCAAGTTAGCTTTAAGCCACCAGTTTAGCAATTACATCTATATTTTTCCCCTGTTGCAGATAAAACTGTGTACAATAGACAGTTGACAGAAGAAAAACCATTACAAGAGCAGGTAAGTCCCTCTTTCTCCATGTACCTAATTTTCTCATCCAATATCCGGCCAAATGGGCTTTATGGTCACTTGTCAAACAACCCAGGTATTAGCCCAGCAAACATTATTAATCACAGCTTATATCCTGAGTGGAAATTATTTGTTTCATCATTTCCCCAGATTGCTGAGGCGGACAGCGTGAAGGCTGCAGTACAGTCAGCTGGTAAGAGGAAACCTTACTGCCAATCAATGAATGACTTTATTCCCGCCCTGCTGAGTGGGTTCATGTTGCAGCACTTCCAGTAAAACAGGCTTCATCTGTACTGAGAAACAAGAACTATCAGAACTACAGTAACCACAATCATACCTCTTGTATTTCTCCAGTTTGATCAGTTTGTCTCTCCTGCCTTTCAGAGAGTAAGCGTCCCACCGCTTCCAAGGACACAGAGTCGGAGCAGGACCTTGATGACTTAACCGTGCTGAAGTCACTGGCCGATGGCCAGAAATCAAAGGAAGCCACTGAGTTGCCGCTCAAGAAGGAGGTCCAGTACGTTCCAGATGAATCAGATTCAACCAAGAGCCGGCGTCTGGCTGAGGACTATGACTCCACCAAGAGCGGGATGGACTATGGCAAGTACCAGGGTATGCACACCTGTCACCATGCACCTTGCTGGCAGGTACACATCCTGGCATTGTTTGTAAAGGTGCTGTGGGATAGCTGTTGTGTTGGGTCTGAGCCACTCTGCTTGTGTGCCTTTTTCCCCCTTCATCAAAGGACAGGCATCATGCTGTGTGCTTCTATCTGTCAGTAACAGGCCACCAGGCAGACATTTTAAGAAAGAGTAGGCAGAAAAACACGTGTATGTGTAATGGGGATAAGCAGACAGATAGAAAGAGCCAAAGACAGAACACGTGCATTCAAGAGAGAAAGATTATCCTCTCCCTCACAGACACTGCAGTTGTGAAAGGCTACTTTACCAGTGTCTTCATTTATCTCTTCACAGGAGACTTTTAAATACATGGCTTGGAATGAGGATTCCCTCTCATTTGGAATAATGAAGAATTAGAAATATCCAACATTTCTGACTGATCTAGCATTATCTCAATATGTCCACATATGTGTCTCCATATCCTGTCTTCAATTTGTTCCAAATAAAGTCTTTGATTAATTTTGAATTCAAATTTGTTAGTCAACTCAAAATCCAATCATTTGCTGATATCTACATAGATATGATCTCTTAGTAGATTTCAGATCACAACACATTTCACTGTATGTGAATGTAATTTATAATTCAGTTCAATCATCAGCATAAAGCAGAGAGACTCTGAGGTGAGGTGACTCAGACACAAAGGGATGAGTGCTACACTTCATCGATTCATGCTGTCGGCCCGGCAATGACAAGCAGCTTGTCAGGTTACTCCACATCTAAATTTGGCATGCACGGTCTGGATATCATTTCTTATTTCCTAGAGTGAGACAGAAATAAACCTTGTGTTTGAAGGTAAAGTACATCACTGATGATTCAACCAACCAATACAGGCAGAAGTATTATGGCAATGCTTATTTTTATTGTGCGTGGACCTTTGGAAGCATCAGGGACTGTTATGTAAGAGTCAAGCTGTAACAGTGGCACATTTTGTACGTGGTAATGGCAATATAAATGTGTTGAATATGAGGAAAGGAGAGGACAAGTCCTTTATTACTGAACGAGTCATTTTCCACCTAATGAGAGTAGTTTTAACATTTTATGGTACAATAGAGAGACAAAGAAGAAGAAAAGATGGATGGAGTAAAGTAGAGAAAGGAACAACGAGCTTCATGAACTCTTGTGTTTAATGGTTAAAATGGAGAAAAGATGAAAAAATATTTCATAATATTATCAGTTATGATAGTACTCAAAAAGTATTTTCAGTCAAATAGATTAAGAATTTAAGCAGAGACACCTGCTTTATGCCTGCACACAGCTAGTAAGCATATTTATAAAGTTACAAATGACACCATATGTGTTGTCCAATCTCAGATGACCCAGAAAGCTTCCGTCAGGTCGACGGCACTCCACTGACAGCAGAAGACATTGTCCAGAAGATCGCAAACAAGATCTACGAGGAGGACGACAGAGGGGTGTTCGACAGGATCGTCTCCAAACTGCTCAAACTGGGGCTGGTAGGTCATGAGCTTGTTCTCTCGCATGCTGTTCAATTCCACACAGCATGCAGCATGACATTTTCTCAACAGGAATCTCTCTTTCTCTGCACTGCTTGCTTCCTCACCGAAACAGGAAGAGATGTGTGAATTGTGCTCTGTTCATTTTGGTTGTGAATTACTTTTTTGGCGCTCAATAAGTAGTTTGACAGTGCCCAAATGGCTCCCTGAGATGAATCTCTCAGTGATCAATATGAGCTACATAAAGGTTTATCACATCTCACAGCACATTTGTTATTGCATGCAATTGTTCTCAGTCTGTCTCTTTTTCCTTTGTCTCTCTGTAGATCACAGATAGTCAAGCGGATACTCTGGAGTACCAGGTGGCTGAGGCGCTCCAGGATCTCATCACCAAAAATGCCAAGAACAACGAGATTGAGGACATTGAGAGCAACGACCAAGAAACCAGGGGAGAGCAGGACGACCAGGGTTCAGACACAAACACGGTAAAACCTGCAAAGAAGTGATAGTAACGGCAACAGTGATAACAAAAAGGATGATAACAGTAACAACCAACACTCTGGCATTTCCAGGACACATGGGAGCCACCCAGCCGCCGCTACAAGGAAGACGAGGACAATGAGGAAGAAGATGATGACGAGATTGAGGATGAGGTGGAGAGGGATGCAGAAGAAGAGGAGGGCGACACAGTCGACAACAGCTGGGACAAAGATACAGAGGAGGGCAATGAGGTGAGCCCTGAAGATGGGCTCCAGGACCTGCAGTACTTCCCAAACTTCTACCGTCTGCTCAGGAGCCTCGACTCAGGTAAAAACACAAACACACATCGAGCTGGCTGTGACATTTTAGATCAGAGGCACAATAGTCGACACTTCACAGCATCCTTCATCCAACAATAGAAGTTCTTCAGATCAAGAACAGGACTAGAGAGCTGTTGTTGTCATGGAGATATTGTTCTTAAGGATGAGTCGATGATTTTTTTTGATTGCCTTTGTTTCCACAACACATCTTCCTGCAGATGAAGTACAGATGAAACACACACACACACACACACACACACACACACACACACACACACACATACACACACACTACTAATTATTTATAATCCTATCATCATGACCCCCACAGTCAAACACCATGTGGTAACAGAAACACCAATTACCATTAACAAAACATCAATGATAGATGTTGGTTTTGAATGTGTCTGGTTTGCTGTTGCAGATCGAGACAATCAGGAGAGAGAGACATTGATCACCATCATGAAGACGCTGATTGACTTTGTGA